TGTGTGTGTGTGTGTGTGTGTGTGTGTGTGTGTGTGTGTGTGTGTGTTGGATGATGAGTGAATGCAAGTGAGTTCATATTTATGTATTTGCCTGCATCCTTAACTGAGAGACCACACAGACACAGCAAAAAATCCCACACACTCTCTGCCTCCATTACGGCCGTCTGTCAGACCCACCGTCTTCCTCGTCCGGCTCCCCCTCAGCACCAGCACCGCCTGGCTGCTGCCGGGTTTGGCTCACATCCTCAGCGCGCTCTCTCCACGTGAAGAGGTCCTTGTGTGTTGGTGGCTGACCTCCGGAGTGCCTGCGGAGAGAGGCTTCATAAAAAGAGCCTTTGATTGGAGGAGATTATGGCCCTCCAGCTGCGCAGGCTGACGTTCACACCGGGAGCTGGAACAGCCCAGAGCATCACAGCCTGGGGGTTAAACTGCACAACATGTTATTACTGAGTTACTTTTCTAACATATTTAATGTTCTAGAGTTCTTCGTTATAATCAAAGATTAAAGGGTAAAGGAACTGAATCATCATTTGAGTTGTGTGAGTCGCTGTGTGCTCATAATGAACATGGAGTAAAGTAAAGACTAAAAAAGCACAGAGTATTGATTAGCTAGCAGCATGCTGAGTCATCAATTTCAGAAAGGGCAAACATCCTGCCAGTCAAGCCCCCTGGTTCCCCTAAAGTTAAGGCCTGGTAGCTGTTGTGCAATGTGAATACACTTTTGCCTCCAACTCCTCATTACTGAATACCTCATTTGAGTTAGCTTGTGTTAATTTGATTAACACAACTGTAATATACAACATGTTAGCACAATACATATTCAACAATAAAGCTCTTCCTTAATCAATAGTATACTTAAGGGGTCAAATTACCATGACTAGTTGACTTGCTGTGAACCTTGGGCGCATTGGGCCAGTTGGTAATCCAGCCTCTCCAGGTTCAGCATGTGTCAGTTTGTAGTAAATTAAGGAATATTTCACTCCTAAAACAAATGAAAATATCAATCAACCCGTCTCACTTATCCTATCACATTCTCACTATTTCCGAAAACACATGCATCTTCACTAAAACCAGACTATTTAAAACCCTTCAGACTCGCCCGGACTCGCATGGATGAGTACAAACAAGAAACTGTTTATGTTGAGTTGTTAAAAATAGAAAGGTTAGATTATACATCCAGGGCACTTCAGCTCACAAACTTCCTGTTTTAAGATCTTATTAAAAAGTTTATTTTATAATGCACTGTTTTATTTTCAACAGGTCTTATCTGTTTTATTTTTATTATCACTTTTATCTCAAATTATTGTTGGGTATTTTATTCCCTTTTATTTTCATAATATTTCAATTGTCTGATTTTATTTGCCGCAATTCAGTCCTGAAATATTTGAATCCTGGTCATGTGAAGCACTTTGTTTTTAAAAGTGCTGTTTGAATAACGTTTGTTATTATTATTAAATTATAAGTCTTATATTAAATCTTTATTTTTACATACATACATTTATATTTACGGTTTCTAGATATCTACATATATTTCTTTATATTTTGATTTAATTTTCTGATCTTCTGTTTTAATTTGCCATTCATACAAACTCAACACTTCCTCCATATTCATCTGTCTGATGCTGAAATTATTATATAAGTTTATAAGTATATAAATTAGAGTACTTATTCCACCCCTTCTCAATTGTCCCTGCAAGACATTATTTGAATACCAGCTATTATCAAAAAGGCACGTGGTGCACATCCAACCCTGGAAAAGTCGGTCACAAGGGTTGAAGTATATCTCTTTCTGCTCTTTCCCTCTTCCGTAGAGTTTGTGCCAGTGGGTTCTGAGTGTGAAGAAGAACTACAGGAAGAATGTGGCTTATCACAACTGGAGACATGCCTTCAACACTGCCCAGAGCATGTTCACCCTCCTCAAGTCAGGACGCCTCCAGGTCAGTGCAGCCGATCACTGATTAGGATGAGATGATTTGTTAAATTGCCAGTTGCTAAACATTTGGAATTCCAAGAATGAATAGTTTGCTGCTGAAAAGCATTGAATTCACAATCTTGTTGGAGAATCAAACCCCATTGATGAACAAGAAAAAGAAAACAGCTGTAGACTGAAGTCTCATATCTCAAATAGCTTCCCTGCAGCATTCCTGCTTCCATGTGTATAACCGTGCAACAATAACTTTGATCAACAAATAAGAATATATAAATAAAGTCTCTGCAAGTTGTCTTTCATGGTATAGTCATATTAATTGAAACAACTGGCTCAGAATGTAGGAAATGAAAAGCCTTCAGTGTGTTTTGGAAAGTGTTTGGCAGTAATGTTTAATTCACATGATTTGTAGCTAATGGGTTAAATTAAACAGCATCTATAATGAATGGTCAGAATTAAAATACTTCCTACAGCACCAGGAATACAATAGGTTGGAAAACTCTGAATACTAGTGGTTTCTGTGACACAAAAACATGTAACATGCATTTCTGCATAAAATATTAGCAACTATCAGCAGCTGCTGGATATATCAGTATTGACAATGGTGGAGCCATGCTTTCATCTCTGGTGTAAAAGCTGTAAAAGCTGTCATATGCAGAAACGGTCGTGCTGTCCACTCCAGGCTTTGTGCTGAGCGCCCACACTGCCAACAATGTATGGAGAGTTACGACAGCACAAGTGTACACGGCTTTTGTGAGGCTTTTGTTTGGTTTAATTGTTCCAAAAGATTGTCATCTGTTAACCAGCTGCCATTACGTGATGTAGTTTGTGTGTGTTTTACATGTAGTTTGTGTGTGTTACTTCCTCCACTCCTGACAGAATAACCTGAGTGATCTGGAGGTCTTGGCTCTGATGATTGCAACTCTGAGCCACGATCTGGACCACAGAGGAGTCAACAACTCCTACATACAGAGGTACAGTAGGAGAGCATGAGTCATATAAGTATATGTATGAATGTATGAGCACGCTGTATCCACTCTGTGTGTTTCTTCTTGTGTGTGTACAGGAGCGACCACCCACTGGCCCAGCTCTACTGCCACTCCACCATGGAGCATCACCACTTCGACCAGTGCCTCATGATCCTCAACAGCTCTGTAGGTGCACTCACTCACGCATGTACAGAGGAATCCTGCCAGTCACCTACCTACCAACTGCCAAAAGAGAAATGGTTTCATACTTTGTCTAACAAGTGATAGATTTCATCAGGTGATGGAGACACCACACCTGTGTTTGTATTTGCTCAGAGCCCCTCTTATTGCAAACACAAAGACCCTAAGTATTAGAGCCAGACAGGTAGATTAGCCATGCCGATATCAAATAATTGCAGACATATCAGTACATATGTCGGCCCACAAGTAATAGCAGTCCAGAAATGTCAAACTAGGTTTGAGGTCATTCAGGAACAGTGTCACCATTCGATAGATTGCCCACCAGAGATCACTGGCAGGGTTATTCTTCCACTGAAAAACTATTTTCAGCAGAAAGTAGCTAAGTCTGTTCAAGAAGCCACTAGATGACATCACGCACTACTTTGCATATATTACGTAACTATCAACACATGTACAAGATTTTTGTAAATAAAAGTTAAGAAATACAGGAAAGTCAAGCTAAACCTAATGGACTCTTACTAGCTTTATCATGAGCTATTATTATGTTTTAATGCTCATCAGATCAATATGTATCCTAATCTACCTCTCACCTCAAAACTGTGGAAGGATGTATTGATTGGTCCAGCTTTAATCAACATTTGATATCTACACTGAACCAGGTGACTCTATAATGTGAAACAGGGATCTCAATGTGCCTAAATCACAAAGATGTATTACTTTGCTCTTTAGCTTACGCTAGTGCAGGGGCATTCAATTAACACTCAAAGACACAAACACAAAAATTTCCTCCCAGCAGACGTTCAAACCTCATAATGTATATTTGCATCCTATAGTTTACCCCTAAATCTGTCAAACAAACTCAACTACAGTATGTGCATTTCCATATCATTTCAACAACATTTATTGTCAATTTTCAAAGTAGGATCATTTAAAATAACTATCTTTACCTTAAATAAGATTAGTCTTAGCACAATGAAGACTTAGTTTGATCATCCCCCCTTGTTCTTTATTCTTATTTAGTTATTTATTTTAAACATTTTATCGAGCATACTTCCTTTCTAGTAAGAGAAATGGGACTGCGACTGCCCTGCTACTAGTTTGAATCTTGGCTTGAGTGGAGTTAGAGCCAATGTCATACACATCTGTAAGTGCTCATTGTACTTGGTTTTGATAATGTTCATAGTGTAGAAAGCTGACTCACAGTTGATCCAGACATGGTCAAGGTGTTGACATTTGGTTTTAGGTTTGGAGTCTGAGACTCTTCAAACAACACAAGTACGAAAACCCTACTATTCTCAGCTCACTTCAGAAATAACTGCTGCTGCCTTAAAGGACCAGCTGTCTGAACTGCAGGTACAGTTACATGTGAGTGTAGCAAAGGAAGAGCTGTCACTTTCATCATGGATATCCGTGTGGGAGCAGAATGAAGGGAGGGAAAGAGGAGAGGGACCAAAAGCATCAGGCAAATCATCTCTTCCCAAACGGATTTTATCTTCATCACAGTTATGCAAAACATGACATTAGTTGACCTTTCACTGCTGCAGCTGATTCAGTATGCAGCAGCTGAGCTCTTGGCAGGTGCTTTGAAGAGGCTCCATCTCTCACAGTAGGTCTCTGAGCTGCTGTGGTCTTACAACAGCTACTAGTAGACATTTATGTTCCAGATTCCAATTGGTCATCCCTTTTCTATTGCAGAAGCAAAAATCCATTGCCAATACCAGAAAAAAACAACAACAAAAAATGGTAATGTAATAGCTTATAGTGTGTAGTGTAATAATTATTATGTGTATCCTCATTTAAGCCCTTAAAGCGCTTGGGAACCTCTTGAAGCCAACTCATCCTGGCCAAGCTGTCAGCCTTCTTGTAAGGAACTGAAACCAACTTTAAATGGAACCTGAGGTTTTGTATTCTTTGTTAACTCAGATATCTTTAAAGTATCGCCCAAAATAACCCAGCAGCAAGTAGTATTGAAACTTCTCCAGTAAAAAGATGCCCATAATCTATCCCTTTTGGGCCAGATCTAGAAAAATTGACTATTTACATGTTATTGTTGTGGTTTTTTTCCTGTTGATGAGCCGCTTCTTTGACTTTACCTAACGGCTGGCTCAGTAACTGTTATCTATCTGACTCGTGGTGAGACACCACAGGATCTCACTGTTAGGACCTCAGTAACGAACACCCACAGAACACAAGAGAGATTGGATTTTCTTCAGTTCACGCAGATTTATTTGTATCACAAAGTATACAAGTAAACCGAGCTGTCCGGAGTCAACTCTCTTCACAATAGCATTGTTCATTACTTTATACCTCCATTCTACCCTAAGTCTCCCCCCCCCCCCCTTCGGAGATGTCCTCCTCCTCTTCTGAACTTTCACCTAGACAAGTTACACTGTGCACCTCGGACAAGTCATAACAGAGGGTTTTTTGATTAACCACAGTCTCCTTCCACACTCGTCTTCTTCTGATTTCACTTCTGGCCGCCCGTCACAGCGACCGGATCCCGTTCTTGCCCTGCGTTAGAAATCTTGGCCTACTTGTTTATCTGCTTCATCCCCCCTCTATCTTCACCCGGGCTCCAAGGCCGCTATCCGAGACTCTCTGTCTCAGTGTCGTGAACAATGATACAGGCCAATATCGCAGTATGAATGTGAATATACATGGATACATTTCAAAGTATGGATATGATTGATTTTACACAAATATATTTCAAGACACATACATTTTTCCTCCCACAGTATTGCTTGCAACCGCTACAACCTATACAACCAGGATTGTCTGCCTGCACACATGGAAATGTCTCTGCCGGTAGCTAGGAGCTAACGGTGCTAACAGGGTAAACAGTGTTTACCTGAAGGGGGAACAAAAGAAATATATGTATATATGTATGTACTGTATGTGTATATATATGTGTATATATGTGTATATATATGTGTATATGTATGTATATATATATGTGTATATGTATGTATATATATATGTATGTGTATATATATGTGTATATGTATGTATATATATATGTATATATATGTATATATATATGTATAT